ACATTCACTCATTTCGTCTCAACTATAATATCACCAATGTCAAGCTCTACAAGGGTTTCCTTCCCAAATAGTGTGAATCCCACAGTTACCTGCATCAAGGAAATCAATTATGGTTACATAAAAACAATTTCTTCTATCTCTTTGTAGCAAACTCTTCATCTAGAAGAAAACAGCACACCTTTTTACTCTTACGGTTCACTTTCTTAAGAGAGCCTTCGAATTCTGCAAAAGTCCCGGATGACACCCGAACGGTTGACCCCGGAGATAAAGTATTAACAGCTTTTTTAGGTCTTCCTTTGTGCTTTGTGGCAGTAGTACCGTTAGTATCTAAGTCAGTCTCGAGCACGCTGGGGTTCGGAGCTTGCTCTTTCTCTTTCTCTAGAAAAGCTTGGTCATGTCTTTCTTGCTCTTCCTTTGCCTCTTTAAAAATTGCTTCCATGTCGTCTTGAGATACTGGCTTTGGTTTGTTTATCTGTCGTTTCCTGTGTAATGCTCAAACTATCAGAACAACAGAGTGATCACTGTGGACAATACATTACAGAAGTAGGGAAAATACAGAGTTTTCTACATTTGAACTTGTTGGATGAAAGCTACTGTCCATAGTCTTGAAATTCCAAATTTAAATACAAAAGTCTTCACAAAAAATTTTAGATTCAGTTTAATGCCACAGCCTAATAGATTCCAAAATCCTTCAGTTTCTAGATTCCAAAATCCTTCGGTTTCTAGATTACAAGACAAACAAATCTCATAATCTCAAATGGCCACTAGTGTTCCTGTGAGATCTCATATCGGTAGGGGAGAAGAACGAAACATTTTTTATGAGAGGGTAGAGACCTCTCTCTAGCAGACGCGTTTTAAAAACCTTGAGGGGAAGCCCGAAAGGGAAAACCCAAAGGACAATACCTGCTAGTGGTGGGGTTGGGCCGTTACAAATGGTATTAGAGCCAGACACCAGACGATGTGCCAGCGAGGAGACTAAGCCTTGAAGGAGGGTGGACACGAGGCGGTGAGCTAGCAAGGATGCTGGGCCCTGAAGGGAGTGGATTGAGGGGTCCTACATCGATTAAAGAGAGAAACGAGTGCCAGCGAGGACGCTGGGCCGAATTGTGAGATCTCACATTGGTTGGGGAGGAGAACGAAACATTCTTTATAAGGGTGTGAAAAGTCTCTCCCTGGCACACACGTTTTAAAAACCTTGAAGGGAAGCTTGAAAGGGAAAGCCCAAAAAGAACAATATCTACTAACGGTGGGCTTGAGATGTTCCTCATTTCCTGCTAGAAGTTTCTTTACAATTTCTGAGTAATGTTATCTCCTAAAGAACAAATATTTTCATAACTATTTTCGCAAAGACGAAAAATAGAATAACAACTCACGTATTTCCGACCTTCGCACCAACAAAGCCTCCAACTCCATCACACTCTCTAATGAAGTCATGCATCTCCTTGTTCATGATACACCTTATAAATACAGATCCAGGAAAAACCGCTTTCGGTTTAACCGTGTAAGAACCGTTCTTTAATTTCCTCTTCTCATGGACAGACGGGTAATATATCTGCAAGAAATTGAGTGTTGATACACATAATCGTCTCTAACAATTTGTGCTAACTGAAAGGTATAAAAAAAAAAAAAAAAAAAAAAAAAAAAAAAAACTCCCCATTTTACTAAGTTTTATTACCTTCTTCTAAAACAAACTCTGCACACGATGGTTCCTCTTGTTTCCATGTTGAGGGCTCGGATTGTGAATCTGATGTTAGTGTAGTTAGTGTGGATCTTGATTTCCAGTCATCCATCAAGTCAGATTCCCCCATTTTTAAAGTTTCAATGAAAATCAACCATCAAAAAGTGATACTCTAATACAGGATAAATTCTCCTCACTAATGAAGGCATGGCTACTCAATGAGTTAGTTTGTGGAGGTCATTTATCTTGTTGGTGCTTTTGTTTGGAATGGTTAAGTAAATTCGATTGGGGAGTTTTAGTTGCTTCTAGCTCGGATCATTCTGTCTATTCAGCTATGCACTCGATTAAAGTCGTCTTTATTAGGAACCACGAACCCTATGATATTGTCTACTTTGAGCATGTCTACTTTGAGCATAAACTCTCATGGCTTTAATTTTGATTTTCCAAAAGGCCTCATACCAACGAAGATGTATTCCTTACTTATAAACTCATGATCAATCCCTTAATTAGCCGACGTGAGACTCCTCGAAGATCATCAACAATCTTTTTGGATTATACCAGAAATTTGAAGTTCTTTGGAGTTTTCGTTTTGGCTTGAATCTTTTATAAGAAGTTGAAGATTATGAACGTTTCTAACTCAAATTCGATAGCTTTTTGGTTTGTTTCCAAACAACGGAACTCAGAAGATTTTCATATTTTGAGTTATGCTAATGAATTTAGAAAACAACACAACAGAATGCATTCAATTATCCAAATCAACACAATACACAGAATCCAATTGAGCGACAAACACAGAAATCAAAGAGTCGAGTGAAGAAATTTCACCTTGAAATCGAGGTCAGGATAGTTCCTAGCAAGAGAACGAGCGAGGCGTTCGACAATTTCTTGGCCTCTAACACGAGAGACCCGCATAACCCACCATTGAGGACCTAATTTAGCAAGGTAATCGAGATTGAGCTTCTCAGTCCAATTGGCAAATTCCTTCTTCGGCTTCTTGCAGAGCCTCTCTTCCACCTCTTCCCTCCAATTAGTGGTTTTCGTCTCTCTCCTTTCGTTCCTCAGCCTCCTCCTCTCCCGCGCCGACAGCTGCAGGACATCATCAGCGGCAGTTTCGAGGGCGGCAGAGATTGATAATTGGGTGCGCAGGGAAGAAGAGAGAGAGAAGGAAAGGGAAGGGAAAGAGGGAGAGCGAAGAGGAAGTGTAGTCCAAGTCAGAAGCCCGCAGGCCATCGTCTTCACAGGAACCAGTTTTCGATTACTGGTTCGGGTGTGGAGCCACCAGTGATGATAACGGCGATAGGTGGTGTTATTGCGACTCCCATTTGTCGTTGCTGGATGAAGGAGATAATTTTCATTGCGAGCCGACTTGTCGCCCTTGAGAATCGGGTTACATTATTCTGGGCCGGGTTTTACAGTCCGAGCCCATAGCCCATATAAAGTGAAACGAATTAATCGAGATGTTCATCGCAATAATTTCACAAATATTTTTTACATTTAGATTTTTTTTGGTTGCCAATGTAACTAATTTATTTATGTATTTGGGTTGTTTTGGTGCAATGATTTTATCAATAAATAATAATTTACAATAATATAGTAAATCAACACCAATTAATATTTTATATTATAAAATAAAATGTATATATTAGAATAATTAAATGACTATTATTTTAAAAAATAATAATAAACAAAAAAAAAAAAATTTATGGTAAACCTGATTCATGTCGATCTTCCTGGTATGAAGAAGTTTTGATACGGAATCAACTCAAGGAAAAGTATGGAATAGATTACCTTAGTGATCAAGATCAAAAGTAAAAAAAACTCGTGATTCAGGTTTGGTCGATACTATTTAAATGACTCTGACTCTAACATGCAAGTTTTAAACCAAAAAAAAAAAAAAAAAAAAAAAAAA